TAACCTGTTTCCAGAAAGTGTGTTTTGGCAAACAAATTTTAAAAAACACTCCCTGGTTGTGGGATGGGACCTTTCAAAGCTTTTTTTTTTTTTTTAAAGTCAAAATTGTTTACACAGTGAATGAACTGGGGAAGCTTGTAAAAGGGCAGGAATGAGGTCTGGGACATGACCAAGACCTGCCATTACTGCAGTGTCCACATGCATTTAAGATGGCTTCACAGACTTGGGGACAGAACCTCTGACCCAGAAGCCATTTTTTTAAATGCTTAGAACTGTCATCCTTCATAAGAGAAAGCTGCGTTCGATGGCACCATTGTCCAGATGAACTACGAGTCATTTGTATAGGAAATTTTCTTCCACAATAATGTCTTTAGGTTATTTAATATCAAAGAATGTTCCATTTCCATCTGATTTGCTGTGACTTTGAGAGCAATACATGAATAAAGCTGCTTTTCCAATTCTTCACGAATTTCACTTGGAGCACCACGCAGTAGGTAGTCTTTGAGTAGCTGACAGGCTTTTGCCAAGTTTGGTTGTATTACTTCAGAAGTACACTTCATTGTGTTCTGGTCACAGCTAGTTCTACAGTCTGTGCCGTAGACACAGTCCATATCAGACTCACAGTGACGATCCTTAATAAGTTCCTTTAGGTTTGTCTCTGGCACAATTTTCCTCATATCCACCATTTTCAAGTCATACTTCTCATTATATCCCAGGTTTTTGGCACTAGTATCACACATGAGAAAGTTTCCGTAGGGGCTGTGGAAAACATCCTCCACAAACTCTAGCAATCCTATGGCTATCTTAGCCTTTCTAGGCCATGATGGTGTGAACAGCTGATCCATGCTTCTCCTGAACCCAGAGGGAATAAACAGTTCAATGACCCATGGAAGGCTTATTCCATAAAGAGAGGTATATTCAACACTTTCCATGACGTAGAGGTCACCACAGAATCCCATTAGTTTGGGGGTGTGTTCTTTATCTTGCAGTATCACCATGAGAAGAAATTCGTTTAACTGGAGAAGGGCCCAGGCAGACTTTGCTTCTCCTAAGGAAACCTGGCCATCTTTGTCTCCATCAGCCACTGTCAAGATGAGGTTAACCAATTCAGAGAGGTTTCCTTGGTCACCTAATTTTGCCTGTTAAGACAAATTGGCAAATTATGTAGCGTGAAAAGCAGCTGTGGACAGCTACCTGTAATTCCAGCTACTCAGGAGGCTGAGGTAGGATTGTAAATTCAAGGCCAGCCTGTAATTCAGCAACTAAGTCCCAGTCTTTTGTTTTCTTTTTTTGGTTTTGTTTTGTTTTTTGAGATAGTCTCCCTTGTAGCTCCAGCTGGCCTGGAACTCACTATGTAGAATACCAGGATAGGATGGGATGGGAAAACTAGTGCTGAGATACACTATTATCCTACTTCATATCAGATTTATTTATTTATTGACAGTCTCACACTATAGCCTAGGCTGGCCTGGAACACACTATGTAGCGCAAACTGGTCTCAAATTTGAGGCAACTCCCCTGCCTCAGTCTCTTAAAAAGCTGAGCTTATGCTTGGCGTAGTGGTGCATGCCTTTAGTCCCACCTCTCAGGAGGCAGAGGCAGGTGAATCTCTGAGTTCAAGGCCAGCCTGGTCTACATAGTTCAGGACAGCTGGGGCTACAGGGAGATCCTCTCTCTCTCTCTCTCTCTCTCTCTCTCTCTCTCTCTCTCTCTCACACACACACACACACACAACACACACACCACACACAAACAAAGCTGAGCTTAAGCCCCCGTGCCTGGCTCTGATATCAGTTGAATTGAATGTCAAAATGTCTAACATTCTAGTGCCCTCTCAAGTCTATTTTCTTTTTTTTTGTTTGTTTTTTTGAGACAGGGTCTCCCCTGTAGCCCCAGCTGTCCTGGAATTCACTATGTAGACCAGGCTGGCCTCGAACTCACAGAGATTCACCTGCCTCTGCCTCCCAAGTGCTAGGATTAAAGGTGTGTGCCACCACACCCGGCCATATTTTATTTTTTTAAATAATGTTTTGTGTATGAGTATATTGCCTGCATGTTTGTTAAGTGCACAGATGTTGTGTAATGCCTATGGAGATCAGGAAAAGGTGTCAGATCCCCTGGAACTGGAGTTATAATTGTTAGCTGTCACGTGGGTGCTGGGAACTGAACCCAGGTCCCTGCAAGAGCAGCCTGTGTTCTTAACTGCTGGGCTACCACTCCAGCCCCTCAAGTCTGTTATTATTATTATTATTTTATTATTAACTACTATATTAGTAATGTGGACCTGGCATGGTGGTGAACGTCTTTCATCCCAGGTCTGGGGAGGCAGAGGCAGAGAGGCAGGCTGATCTCTTGAGTTCAAGGCCAGCCTAGGCTACATAGTGAGTTCCAGGCCAATTGGGGCAAAAAGAAAATAAAGGAAAAAAAGTGATGTGAAGATTAACATCCTCCAGTGCATTTTTCTTCTTCCTTTCTTTGAATTATTTTCTCTGAATGAAATTCCTCATAGAAGCAAATGAATATTAACATTCTAAGGACCTGAGAAGGGGTTCTGCAAGTTCTCTTGAAAGAACACAGCTTCCTGCTGGAAGTATGTGACTAGACACACTCACCTTAAAGAGACTGTAGACCATTTCTTTGAATTTCTGTACAGTAGTTCCCCTGGTTGGCTTATCAAATAGCACTATTTCTTTTCTTGGTTCCAGTTCTGTTCCAAAATCAAGACGAAGTGCTTGTTCCATTTGACATTTCACAACACCTGGTAGATTATCCCAAATCCCTAAATACATCTTTGTGAAGAAAGACAAGTTACATTTTACAAAGAGTAGAAAACTAATAAGCACACAGCTGTATTTTTCAGGTTCTCCCCTACAAACACAAGCATCAAGTCACTCAGATCTGTAGCTTTATTTATTCTTGCCTTTTTGAGATGGTCTCACTATGTAACGTGGGCTGCCTCAAACTCAAATCCTTTTGCCTTGGTGTCCTGAGTGGTACATCCATGCACCACCACACCCAGCCTCCTGGCTTTTTCCTTTTTTTTTTTAAGGGTCCCACTGTGCAACCCTGGTTGGCCTAAAACTCTATATAGACTGGCCTTGAACTCAAGAGATCTACCTGCCTCTGCTTCCTTGGTGCAGGGTGAAAAGGTGTGCTGCTAGACCCAGTGTTTACTACATTTTATGTAAAACTGGAATTTCCTACAAACAGCTTTCTGAATGTGTGATGCTTGGAGCTCAGAGTGAAGCCAAAGTTACAATGGAGACTCAGGATGGGAAGGTGAGGAACAGGAATGTGTGCTTGGGAGCTTTAGGCAGCATAGCAAGTGGGCTTCAGCAACCCAACCCTAAGCGGCACAGGCCTGCTGGATCCCTGGAGGCCTACCTGCTACAGTGTATCTGAAGGCCAGCATGAATGTTCAGTTACATTGATAGAACCCCTTCACCTGGAGCCATAAAAGGAGCACCCCAAGGCTGAGATGTAGCAGGCATGCTGACTAATTACTCAGTCACTTGTCATGAGCCTCATCCAGGAAAACTGCCACAGTGAAGGACTCCTGCACATGATACTCAGCCCATGTCAAACTAACCCTCCAATGGCCTGTCACCTGGACCTGCATCTGGCATCTCTGTACCTAAACACCTCTGTGCCTTCAGGTTCAAAGATGTCTTATCTGATCCTGGATAGACTTCCTTGCACCTATATCAGCACTTTACCTCAGACTTCAGAACAGCCTCTCAAACCATTTACATTTATTTATTTATTTATTTATTTATTTATTTATTCATTCATTTATTTACTCATTTACTTACTTATTTACTATTTATTTATTTAGTCTTTTTGAGACAGGGTCTCTCTGTAGCCCCAGCTAGCCTGGAACTCGCTATGTAGACCAGGATGGCCTCAAATTCAGAGACCCACCTGCCTCTGGCTCCCGAGTGCTGGGATTAAAGGTGTAAGCCACCATACTCGGCTCCCTTTTTTATTTTTATTTTTAAATTATTACTTTTCTGTGTATGAGTGTATTGTTTGCATGTGTGTAAATGCACTCATACAATGCTCACAGAGGTCAGAAGAGGGCATCGGATCCCCTGGAACTTGAGTTACATATGGTTGTTAGACACCATGTGGGTGCTGGGAATCAAACTTTTTTTTTTTTTTTTGGTCTTTTTGAGACAGGGTCTCTAGAACTCGCTATGTAGACCAGGCTGTCCTTGAACTCAGAGATCTGCCTGCCTCTGCCTCCTGAGTGCTGGGACTAAAGGCATGTGCCACCATGCTGGAAGAGCAGTAACCACTGAACCATCTCTCCAGTCCCTGAAACCCTTTCTTAGCCATTCTGTAACAAGTGGGTTTGTGTGTGTGTGCGTGTGTGCACGTGTGTGTATGCATATATGTTGTGTGAAGTGTAATGTGTTATTAATAATTAAAATTGAAATAAAAGCCTGGGATTACTAATAGCCAACTATCAAATAAAATGGGGGTTACTTGACAAATCGGAGCCAACAAAATTGATATAGCTTGTGAGTTTGTTGTTCAAATCATTCTGATATTGTGGAAGATAGAAATGTGTCCACTTAGGTTTCTGTCATAGGGGCTGGGACAGAGCCTTTGGGGATGAGGAACAGAATGCTATGTCTTAGATAAGAAAGTGTTAAAGCTTAGTGTTAAAAGCTTAGTCCCCACCTTGGTGCCATTGGGAGGTGGTAGAACCTATTTTTTTTGTTTTGTTTTGTTTTTTTTTAGCCCTGGTTGGCTGGCCTCAAACTCAGAGATCCACCTGCCTCTGCCTCCAGAGTGCTGGGATTAAAAGTATATGCCACCACACCCCTCAGGTGGTAGAACTTTTAAGAGGCTGTGATTTTAGGTCACTGAAGACGTACTCTCAAAATGAACTGAGGGATGCTAGTCTGTCTCTCCCATCTCCCTCTCTCCTGACTATGAGGTGAATGGGCTTTTACTGCCACATGTTCCCGCCATTATGTACTGTCTCACCACAGCCCCAAAGGCGATAGACCCAAACAACCACTGACTGAAACTGAGCTAAAAGAATCTTTCTTTTTGATTGTCTCAGGTATTTTGCTATACTTAGCAGAATGCTAGCAAGTCTACTAATTTATTTTACTATTGTTTTGGTTTTATGAGAAAAGGTTTTGTTATATAATCCTGGAACTAGTTATGTAGCCTAGGCTGGCCTCAAATTTACAATCTTGCCTCTGCCATCAGAGTGCTAGGATTAGAGGCATGCATCACCATGCCTAGTTTTATTTTGTTATTTTAAAACACATTCCAACTCTACAAGGTAGATACAACTATTGTCCACATTACACTTTTGAGGAAACTGAAGCAGAGGCAGCTAAAGAAAGACGCTGAAGGCAACAACAGTAGCACCAATGCCAGCTTTTGAACTTAATCATCGAGACTCAGAGCTCATGATCTTAACCACTAGGCAGGCTGCTTCTCCTATGTCTATATAAAGAAGAATTAGGGTACTATTAAATAATAATATTAATCCAAACAGAATCGATCACATCACTCTCCAATAAATTCCAAACTCAATTAGAATAAAGCCACAGTTCCATTAGGGATCTGAGCTGACATGGTTTACTTCTCCACCTGCTCTTGTACTGCTGACCCTTGGCTCTCCACCAGGCTACATGGGTCTTTGTCATCTCTGGACCTGGGAAGCTTGTTCCCATCTTGTGATATGCTTTGAGACTGCATTCTCCTAGTTTCATGGGCTGCCTCTACTTTATGCAAAGCCAGCTCCAAAAGGCTTTCTCTGCTTCTACAACTGATTCCTCTTCCACCTCAGATCACCTCTACTTCATGACCCTGTATTATTTTTCTCACAGCCTTTATCATTGTCTAAAATTATTTTTCCATCTTCAGTTATTAACGGTCTTCTATCACATTAGAATACAAGGCACATGAGGCTGATGTCTCTGTCTTGTTCCCATGATTTCTTACAGAGATGCAAACAGTGTCTGGCATGGAGTTGACACTCAGACATTGGAGTTTGTTTTAGAAATCATCTTTTATATTGCTGTCTGGGGTGGTACAGACAGCAGAGGCAGGAAGGCTGTAAATTCTAAGCCAGCTTGGGATAAGCTGCAAGACCATATCTCAAAAAACCAAGGGCTAAGCCTGGTACGGTGGCACACACTGGTAATCCCAGGTAGAGGCAGGAGGATCCCTGTAAGGTCAAGGCCAACCTGGCCTCCATAATGAGTTCCAGGTCAGCCAGGGCTGCATAGTGAGACCCTGTCTCAAAAACAAAAACAGATGCCAGGCGTGGTAGTGCATACCTCTAATCCCAGTACTCAGGAGGAGACAAAGGCAGGGGGATCTATTGTAAATTCAAGGTCAGCCTGGTCTACATAGTGAGTCCCAGGCCAGTTGGGGGTACTGGAAAGTCCTGTCTCAAAAAAACAAAACACCACCACCAGCACCGCCACCACCACACTAAGATTGACTAGGGGTATAGCTCAATGGCAGAATACTTTCCTAGTAATGTGCAAAGCTCTGGATTAGATTCAATACAGAAATAAAATAATTTCAAATTTCTATGCAAGTTTTATATATTTTTTTATTGGAAAATTCAGAAATAAGAGGAACATAAAAATGTAATTTCCCATTCCCTAAGGATGTTTTGTTAATTTTCTTTCAGTCCAATCTTACTGCGTTTTTTTGTTTTTGTTTTTTCCTTTTCCTTTTTTGAGACAGGGTCTCCCTGTAGCCCCAGCTGTCCTCAAACTCTCAGAGCTCTGCCTGCCTCTGCTTCCCAAGTGCTGGGATTAAAGGTGTGCTTCACTATTCAAGGCTCAATCTTACTGTTTTTATTTATAGGGTTTTTTAAAAATCTTTCTTAAAATTTTTTTATTTTTTGGTCTTTTTGAGACAGGGTCTCCCTGTAGCTCCAGCTGTCCTGGAACTCACTATGTAGACCAGGCTGGCCTTGAACTCACAGAGATCCGTCTGCCTCTGCCTCCCGAGTGCTGGGATTAGAGATGTGCACCACTGCACCTGGTTTATTTTTTTTAATTTATTATTTTTATTTTATGTGTATGCATGTATTGCCTACAGAATGTGAGTGCACCCGTGTCGTGCAATGCCGCGGAGGTCAGTTTATTATTTTTATTTTATGTGTATGCATGTATTGCCTACATGTAAGTAAGTGCACCCATGCTGTGCAATGCCCTCGGAGGGCAGAAGAGGCTGTTGGATCCCCTCGGACTGGAGTTACAGACAGTTGTTAGCTGCTGTGTGGGTGCTGGGATTTGAACCCGGGTCTTCTGCAAGAACAACCAGTGTTCTTAACTGCTGAGCCATCTCTCCAGCCCCCTATTTATGTTTTTTTATTATAAGTGAGGTAGAAGTTTTTCCACATCAGGTTTATCATCTGTTCGTGGTTCTTTTGTGATTTAGATCATCCTACGCCTATAGTTTAATTCTTCTTTGAAGTATGAACTCAAATTTATCCTTGAAATTGTCCCTGAGTAACAACTCTAGTTATAGCTTTTTTATTTCTATTTATTTATTTTGAGACAGTGTCTCATAAATCCCAGGCTGACCTCAAACTGGCTATGCAGTCAACTATAGCCTTGGACTTCTGATCCTCCCGGCTCCCCCACCTGAGTGTTGGGATTACAAACGTGTGTGGTGGTGGGGATAGAACCCAGGGCTTCATACACACTAGACAAGCATTCTATTAACTGAGCCACATCCCAGCCCTATGATTACCAACTCCAAAGCACATGTCCTGGCCTGGCCTCCTTTGCCATTTACCATGTGCTTCCCCACAGAGACTATACCATACTCTATAATGGTTTCTGTTATTTATATGTTTATTTATGAACTGCTTGTATCTCCCACCCTGTGAGGTAATGTAAGGATTTTAAGGACATTCATGTCACCTGTCTTAATCGTCACTATTCCTAATAGCTTAGTGTCTAAAATGTACTGGAAATGGGATTAAGAAGTCTTTTTTGTTTGTTTTGATTTATTTTCTTTTTTAAAAAATATTGTATTTATTATTTTTATTTTATGTGTATGCATGTATTGCCTGCATGTAGGTAAGTGCACCCATGTTATGTAATGCCCGCGGAGGACAGAAGAGGCTGTTGGATCCCCTGAGACTGGACTTACAGACAGTTGTTAGCTGCCATGTGGGTGCTAGGATTCAAACCCAAGTCTTCTGCAAGAACAACCAGTGTTCTTAACCGCTGAGCCATCTCTCCAGCCCCTATGATTTGTTTTCTTTGAGACAGGGTCTAATTAGGTAGCCCAGGCCTGTCTTGAACTCACTGCTTAGCGGAGGCTGACACTGAACTTGCAGTGATTCTCCTGTCTCAGTCTTACAAGTGCTAGATATACAGGCATGCACCACCATGACTGGTTTAATAAATAGTTGTTGAAAAAAAGTATGAAAGCATACAAAACTGAAAGGCATGGACTGTCCAAAAGCTCTGATTCGAGAGCTTTTGTTTGTGTGTTCTTTTTTTTTTTTTTTGTCTTTTTGAGACAAGGTCTCTTTGTAGCTCCAACTGCCTGGAACTCACTCTGTAGACCAGGCTGGCCTCGAATTCACAGGGGATCTGCCTGCCTCTGCCTTCCAAGTGCTAGGATTAAATGCGTGTGCCACCACGCCTGGCTGTGTGTTCATTTTTGTTTTCTAGGACACGGTCTTGTTCTGTAGCCCTGGCTGACCTGGAATTTGCTGTGTAGTGCAAACTCAAAATCCTTCTCTCTCAGCTTTTTGATACATGTACCACCAAGCTAAGCTTTAATAATTAAATTTTTTTAAAATTTACTTTTATGTGTATGAGTGTTTTGCTTGCATGTATGTAGGAGCACCTGTGTCATGCAATGCCCATAGAGGCCAAAGAGGATGTCAGATCCTCTGGAACTGGAGTTACAGATGGCTGTTACCTACGTGTGGATGCTGGGAAAAAATCCAGGTCCTCTGTCAGAGCAGCTAGTACTCTTAACCTCTGAGTCATCTTTCCAACTCCACCCTACCCCAATAATTAAAAAAAAATAATGCTTTTAGTTTAAGGTGAATTAGAGTTGACTAGCCAGGTACTGTGGTATAAGACTGTAATCTCAGCATTTAGTAAGTAGAGATAGAAAGAGTGGGAGTTCAAGGTCATCCTCAGTTACAGAAAATTTGAGGTTAGTCTGAGCTACATGAGACTAAATAATAATAATAATCAACAAATGCATTGTGGCATGTATATACCTACATTCACAGGGAAGAATGTACAATTAATAATAATAATAATAATAATAATAATAGAACAATAACAACAACAACAATAATTAGACCTTATTGGGATTCTAAAATATTCATTTATAATGTCCATACCTGATTGTTGGGCTTGGTGGATAAGCATTTTCCAAAGTACAGAGTTTCTGTTACACAAAGGCTATTGCAAGCAGGCCCATCGATAACTCCAGTTTTGTACTTGTCACACTGAAAACCAGGAAATAAAAAAGTAGTTAATAGAACAATGTTCTTAACTAGAAATTAGAGAAAGACTGAAGTAACAAATATGTATATCCTTTAAAAGAAAGTTCTCTGATGAAAAGAACTAAGGCTTTAGATTTAGGCAGACCTGGATTTGAACCCAAGCTCTGTTACCTGCTGAGGAGCTTGTTGTTACTGGGGTGTACACAGAATTTTGGGACTATTTTTAAAAATGGTTCTGGCTTTTATATAACTTTAAAAGTCAAAAATAACAAAATAAGATTACATTGGTCATTTTGTCATCTTTGAGATCATACAAGAAGGAAAATGGGAAAGAGAAACATCAATTTTTTGATAAAATTACATTCAAAGCTAGGTATGGTGGTATATGTCTATTATATTCCAAGCATACTTGATGCAAGAGGATCTCAAGTTTGAGGACAGACTGGGATATAGCAAAGTCCTGTCTTGAAAGCAGGTATCAATGTAACCCCAGGCACAATAAATGAGGATGATCTACTAAACTCAGTTTACACCAGAGCCCAGAAGTAGGCTAAGATGAAGGACCTACGTGGCCTGAGACAAAGTTGGTAAGGCACCAAGCAGCACAAGACACATCTGAGGAGCAGAACTATCAGCCTGGTTTGCAATGAAGGTCTAAAGGACACAAGCTGTGGGAATTCCCACTATTCCATTTGACATCAGGAAGTAGTAGGACAAGGCTGAATCCGTAGACTGTTCTCTGTTGGAGGCAGTCCGTTGATGAACTAGGGTTGTGAGAATGTTATGAGTAGCCCTGCAGTTGCTGAGAAGATATGAAGGCTAAGCCAACCTATACCTCTGTCTCACCTTTTCCCTCTTTCTCACACACAGCACATGATATACTACACACACACACACACACACACACACACACACACACAGAGCTTCATGACTTCACTGCACAGTTGCTTCTAGTAAATGTCTAGTTGAAGAACTCATTTCACAAAGAAATTTATAGTAATTAAGAGAAAACAAGTAAGACACCTATACAATAACTACAAGAATTATGAAGGGATTGTACGGTGTGGTAGCACACATATTTAATCCAAGCAGAGGCAGGTGGATCTCTGTAAGTTTGAGGACAGCCTGGTCTACATAGTAAGTTCCAGGCCCGCTAAGGCTATGTAATGAGACTCTGTCTCAGAAAAAAAAAGAATTACAAAGTGACTATGGAAAAGTATCAAATAAATTTCCCAGAAAAACAATGCTACAGAAGTAGAACAGAAACAACGCTGTGCATCGAAAGGATTTACCGGAATAGCTTAAAACAAGACCTAGAAGCAGAAGGAAGAAGAAGTGATGAGCATCAGAGGGAAACAAAATGAGCTGACAGAACCTGGAGAGGAAGGAGAGGAAATCCTAGAAGTAAAGAGCCACGCTGTCAAAGGTGATGGGGAGGAAGGGTGGATGAGGAAAACATACAGGAAGACTCGGAGCTAGACTGAGTACTTCTGAGTAAAAGTGAAACAGGAATTGAAAAACAACTGAAAAGAATTTGAGATAAATTTGTAGATGACACAGAAGCAGATGTTCAGCATTCGCACATGCTAAAGCTTACATGTGGACCACCTCCAGAGCTTGTGTGTTGGAGGCCTGATGTCCAGCTGGTGGCCACTGGTAGGCAGGTGAAGCTGGGGTGGATGAAGGAGGTTGGGTAGAGCTGGGCCTTTGAAGGGTTAGAAGGTCCTGTCCTTTATTCTCTCCTACCCTTTGCTTCTTGGCTACCAAGGAACCTCCTCCTGTACAGGATCCAGCCACCATGACATTCTGCCTTACCTCAGGCCCAAAGGAAGGGATTCAGCCAGCCATGGACTGAAACCTCTCAAACTGAACTCAAATAAGTTTTTCTTTCTTTAAGCTGATTTTCTTGAGTACACTGTCTCCATGACAGAGTTGACAAATACATTACATGAAGGAAAACAGGAACAAGTGAAAAGAAAAAATGCTCAAAGTAGATTTTTAAAAAAACTTTTTATTTATTGTGTATGACTACTGCCTGCATGTATCTAAGTGCACCCATGTCATGCAAATCCCTCAGAGGCCAGAAGAGGGTGCCAGATTCCCTGGAACTGGAATTACAGAGGTATGTTAGCCTTAGGATTTGAACCCGAATATTCTGCAAGAGCAGCCGGTGCTCTTAACAGCTGAGCCATCTTTTCAGCCCCCTGAAAGTATATTTTTTTAAAACTTCATATAAATATGTTGAGCATAATGTTGGTTTTCCTGCCTTTTATTTGTGTTGTAACTGACCCATATATACGGTATTTCAAAATCTTTTAAACGGCATATATTTATTTTAGTTAAATATAATAAAAGTCATATATTCAATGCTTTAACCTAAAGGTTCTATTAAAATGTTATTCTACCAATGTGAAAAAAAAAGTATATTTTGGTCTGCAGACTGAAAGGGTACACAACCCAGGGAAAGCTGATATGAGTGACCCCTGTGACATATACCATTGAAGGTTGTTGGTTTCAAAAATAAATAATCAGGACTACAGATGTAGCTCAGTGGTAGAGCACTTGCCTAGCATACATGAGGCCCTGGGTTCAATCCCCAGCACTGCTAAATGAATAACCCATCCATCCATCCATCCATCCATCCATCCATCCTTTGAGCACCTTTGCAAAAAGCAAGGGAAAAGAATAAGAATGAAGTCAGATTTCTCTGCAGACACATTCAGTGGGCAACAGCAGTGCGATGCTAGCAGTCTTTGGGAAAGGGAGTATGACTTGCTTGTGACTGGCTTTTATTTTCTCTGTAAGGGATGTTAACAGTAGGTGATTTATGGCATCATTTTGACAATTGAATGTTATGATAAATATAGATCACCTGTAACTTCAGTAAGTGCTCAGTGATACCTGTGTTTTTTTTTTTTAAGATTTAAAAAAAAAACTTACGTGTATGCATGTTTGCCTGCATGTATGCATGTGCACCATGTGCGGTACCCACATAGTCAGAAGAGGGCACTGGATCCCCTGGAACTGGACTCACAGAAGGTTGTGGCTGCCATGTGGGTGCTGAGACCCAAACCCTCTTTGCCAAGAGCAGCAAGTGCTCTTAAACATTAAGCCATCTCTCCAGTCCCCTGACAATCTGTTCTTAGTTTACATCAAGGTTTCTGAACACTGAAGATTCAAAGAAGACAGTTCTCACTGTTCTCACAGCATCTCTGGAAATTACTAAAGAATTACATTTCAGCCCCAAGAGATGAGTGGAGAAACTGAACATGAGAGCAGCTGAAAAGCAGTGCTGGGTGAAAACAGCTGACACCTGAATCAGAAACTGGCAACAGAGTACCTGACTGTGCCTTGTGTCCGCCGTGTTCAGCACTGCCCCCAGTATGCTCATCTGCTATCATGACAGCTTTGTGACACAGAACCTACCCGGGCTTGCATGGGAAAGCTACAGAAATAGCAGTGTCAGTTCAGGAACTTAAGAAGGCCAGGAGACCAACCTAGGCAGTCCTGCTGTCAACCATATTGTACATTGTTCAGAACACAGGCTCCTCAGACCTGCCCTCACTCCTACCAACATTCAGTGCAGTTTGCTGTGAAGATAAGGATGGTCCCAACAGAGGTTAAGAGCCCTGCCCATGTGCAGAGCAAAGATATACACCCTTCAGCTACCAATAGCAGAGAAATTCTGAGATGAGCCCTCGATGATGACTGACTGCCAACCTGTCTTCTTCAGGTCTGGTTGTAACAAAGAATACGGTGTCACCTTCGAGGAAGGAGTAAGACAACTAGTTCCTAGCTTCCAGTTTGGGGGGTGGGGGCACGAAGAGTGGTATTCAAAATCTTTCTTTGGTCTGGTCAACCTCTGGAGGTTTCTTAAGAACAGCAGATCAGCTGTATGGAGAATGTGCTTGGCAGCAGATGGCCAGTGGTTTCATGGGTATGTTTCTTCTTGGTGAAAGGTGATGGGAGCCCTGAAGCCTCACTCAGGAGCTTGAGTGTGACCTCCTGCAGATACAGTTTAGGAAGGATATGAAACCGCACAGACCACACATAAATAAATAAACAGACTGAGGGAAATGAAAATCAGGTTGAAGTGCCAAAGTTCAAATACAGTCCAATACAAAAGAAAAGAAGAAAATAAAATCACCAAAAAGCTATAAAGGAAGAAGAAAAAAGGGCTGGGCATGATACAGCAAGTTCAACACCACATAGGGCTGGAGAGATGACTTAATGGTTGAGAGCACTGGCTGCTCTTGCAGAAGACCCAGGTTTGGATCCCAGTACCCATACGGCAGCTAACAACTGTCAGTAACTCCACTTCCATGGGATTGACGCCCTCTTCTGACATCTACAGGCATTGCACAATATGGGTGTGCTTACAAACAGGCAAAACATTCATACACATAAAATAAAAATTAAGAAAAAAAAGAGCTCAGCTGGGCATGGTGGTGCACACCTTTAATCCCAGCACTTGGAGGCAGAGACAGGCAGATCTCTGTGAGTTCAACGACAGCCTGGTCTACAAAGTGAGTTTGAGGTCAGCTAGGGCTACAGGGAGAGCCTGTCTCAAAAAAAAAAAAAAAAAAAAAAAAAAAAGAAAAAAGAAGAAGAAGAAGAAGAAGAAGAAGAAGAAGAGGAGGAGGAGGAGGAGGAGGAGGAGGAAGAAGAAGAAGACGACAACAACAACAACAAAAAAGAGTCCAATGACAGCCTGAGATGGGCTATATAGTGAGTTCTGGTCCAGCCTGGATTAGAATAAGACCCCGTGACACTGTTTTAAAAAAGAGGAGGAGGAAGAAGGCAGGGAGTGAGGGAAAAGTGAAGGGAAAGAAAGAAAGGAGGAGGGAAGGAAGGAAAAAGGAAACTTAAAGGGAAACAAGGCACATTCCTGAATAGTTTGTGCTAAAGAAGAAAACACCCTAAAATGCAAAATATTTAGAACTGAACAACAAAAGTATACACGTCAAAACTTGTACGCTGCAACTAGAACAGCTCTTAGAGGG